CAAATCCAAATCCAAATCCAAATCACCCACAGGTGTACAGAAGGCAGGGCAAGAGGTTCAGAAGGGATCCTCTCTAGTTTCTTGGGCTGTAAAGTGAGAGATCTGTACTAGATTCTACATACAAGATTCTACTAATGTAGATTTATAGTGAAATAGAATTATCTCCTGCTGCCTCCTTTAGAGCCTGAGAAATAGAGGCGTGATAGTAAACCAGTGGCGGGTTCAGGCGGTACGCCCCGGTACGGGTGTACTGGTGCCTATTTGAGGACCAGGTACCATTCCAGTACGGTGCTCTGGAGGGCCTACACTCCCGCCTGCTCTCCTTACCGGTATTTGAGCTGTTCAGGGCTTCCGAGCACGCACACGGAGCATACGGCACCTGCGCGATGCTCCGTCAATCAGCTGGAGCATCACGGGTGGTAAGTATGCATGTGCGCGCTGGTTGCAACAGGATCTGGAATCCACTACTGTAGTGAAGCAATGACGTGCCTGTTGGAATTGGCATGCAATTGTTGCCCATTGGTCTTCAGAGTTCTGGTGCGTGTATCAGGCAGCTGGTGTTCGCCCACGTGAGAGTATCGGAAACCGGAAGAGCAGTTTCCTGGCATGCATGCACGTGGTGGCCAGCTGGTCTTCATGTGCACATGCACATGAGAAACCAGAAGACCAGGTGGCTGTTGTACATCCATGCGCCGGGAAACTGAGCTTCCAGTTTCCCACACATGTGCATGTGCGTGCACACATTTTGGCACTTGATGCCTTTTTGGCATGCACATGCTCCCATTTCGGCACTTGATGCCAAAGAGGTTAGCCACCAATGCTATAGAGATCCTCTTGCTCTCCTCACTATCCAGCTGCAGGGTCTATTGTATCTTATCTGACCATTCCCCTTAGCAGGTTCTCTTTGCCCAATTTTTTCTTGGTTCTTTCTACGTACCCTTACTACATCATCACCATCATAGCAATAGCACTTAGACTTATATACCGCTTCCCAGTGTTTTACAGCCCTCTCTAAGCGGTTTACAGAGTCAGCCTATTACCCCCAACAATTTTGGGTCCTCATTTTACCCACCTCGGAAGGATGGAAGGCTGAATCAACCTTGACCTCATCTTCATTTTTATGAATCCCTCACCAAATCCCATCATTTGAAGTTGCATTATCATGAATTGCCAGTTCACATTATCAAAGGCCTTTTGAGCATCCTGAAATAACAATGCCATTTGCTTTTCTAGTTTTCATGTTCAAAACAATTTGCATATTGTCTCTGATCTGTCTCTTGGGGAGAAATCCATTTTGGTGAATGTTTATAAATTCATTTAAAAGTCTCTTAATTCTTTCTGCCATTATTGATGCAAAAATTTTATAATCCACATTTAATAGTGAAATAGGTCTATAGTTCTTCACTTGTTGTGGATCTGACTCTTCTTTAGTATAAGCATTATATGCCTCCATCCATGTTTCTGGCATTTTTGCCTCNATCCCTATTTTGGACAGATGGCTGTCCAATCTCTTCTTTAAAATATCCAGTGATGGAGCACCCACAATTTCTGGAGGCAGGTTATGCCACTGATTATTCTCATTCTCAGGCATTGCTTCTCTCCTTGATTAGTTTCCATCCATTATTTCTTGTTCTGCCTTCAGGTGCTTCATTTTTAACTGTCCATTGTTTGCATTCAAGTCTCAAAACTGCCTAAAATTATCCTGCCCCAATTTCCAAATTAAAAAACCCTACTACCCACTGGATTCTACACATTTCAAACTTTCATAAATCTCTAAGACACTGTGTATTTCTCTCACTCCCATTTTTGCCACAGAACTGGCCAATACTTTCTGCAGCCCCATTTCGAAAGGCCCAATTCCCAGTAGTGGGCCATGGCTTAGGGGTGGGGGGTTAGGGACCCCCAATCTGGGTCATGCTTCTTCCAAAGGTGATTTTTCAAAAGGCATCTGGATTTTGTTTTTGCTTGAAGACTTTTCACTTCTCATCCAAGAAGCCGAGAACTGAAGAGGCTTCTGGGGTGAGAAACTATACCACCTTCCAGCAAAATCAAAGTCCAGTTGTCTTTTGGAAAAGCACCTTTGGGAGTCCTTCATTGAGTGCCACCGCAGATAATACAGAGAAAGGTAAATGTTCCCCTGGCACATATGTGCTAGTCATTCCCGACTTAAGGGGCGGTGCTCATCTCCTTTTCAAAGCTGAAGTGCTAGCACTGTCCGAAGTGGCCGGCATGATTAAACACCGAAGGAGCACAGAACGCGGTTACCTTCCCACCAAAGGTGGTCCCTATTTTTCTATTTGCATTTTTACCTGCTTTTCAACTGCTAGGTTGGCAGAAACTGGGATAAGCTCACTCAGTTACGCGGCTCTCGGGATACGATAATAGATAACAGGACAAATAAACAACTGTGAAGGAATCTCCAAAGCATGTATTGGTTGCATGTTTAATTCATAATAAATGTCGCTGTTATGGCTTTCCCTGCCCTCTTTCCTTTTCCCACATTGGAAGCATCACCCATTTCGTCCCCCTGGCCTTCTTCCGCCTGTTCCAGGAACACATTCCACATTTTGAAGAGGATTGCGGGAGTGTCCAGAACGAGCAATCAAACCAAGTTTCATTCCAAGCAGCTTTGCTCATTTCAGCCCCGCTCAATCTCCGCCGTAGACATCATTGCCGGCCTTCTAGGCCTTTTCCACCCGCGCACACCTCCCGCTCCCAACTACCGTACATAATTCCGCTGCAACGGAGTTCGGGAGACCTTTAACTGTCAACATGGAACAGGACATGCGCAGAGCACCTTTGCCAACCCTTGAAGCCGAGCAGAGGACCGGAAAGGCCATAGTTGCTTTAGGAGACACTCTAGGGAGGAGCAATAAACAAGGGAGATTTGCCCTTCTAGGATGAAGACGTATCTGGGAGGACAGGGGAAACCTGTGGAGGGGTCGATTTGCAGCTGCTCTTCTCAATATCAAAAGCCCGGAGAGAGGGGGCCCCGCCCCTTCCTATCCTCCCTGAAGCCGGGAAAGGGGCGGGGCTAGTGGGCGGGGGAGGGTCGGCCGTTTCTCTCTGTCGGGGCTGCGCTGAAGCCGGAGACCGAATGGAGGCCTGGGGGTCTCCCCTTCAGGCGGGGAGCGGCCTCTCCGAGGGCCCCCGCAGCTCCGAGGCTGAGCGCTGGCGCTTCCGCAGCTGCGGCACCCGGGAGGCCGAGGGGCCGCGGGCGCTTTGCAGTCGCCTGCACCAGCTGTGCCGGGGGTGGCTGCGACCCGAGCGGAGCAGCAAAGCTGAGATGCTGGACCTGGTGGTGCTGGAACAGTTGCTGGCCCTGCTGCCCCCGGAGCTGGCGGGCTGGCTGAGGGAGTGCGGGGCGGAGAGCTGCGCCCAGGCCGTGGCCCTGGCCGAAGGCTGCCTCCTCGG